GAAAAACAAAGACACTTCCAGTTGCCCAAATGACAGGGGGGTTCCTGCCAGAAGCCACCTGAGAGCACACAGTATCCAGGTCATTGGACCCATTGCCCTGGCTCTTCTGCTGTTTCAACACGCACCCCGCTAACCACAGATTAAACACAGGTGAGTACCCAGGGCTTGCTGGACACGTCACACCTGCCGTAAGGTGGCTGGGTGGTAACTTTTGCCCTTCTTCCTCAGTCTGACCTAGAGTTAGACCTCAGAAGGAAGAAGCCGGAGCTCTCAACAGCCGGGTAGTGTAGATGAGAGGCCAAGAGCGCAAAGGGCCCCGTGCCCCAATACCCATGGCCGGCAGACTCCATAAGGCCTGGCCAGGGAGATGCCAGGCCCCAGCTGGACTTGATCAGTGGGGCTGCAAATAACGTTAAAATTAATAGATTTTCCTCTCTGTGGATTCAGAGGATACGGAGACCCATCCAAAGGTCCCGAGAACCTCATGTGTTACCTGTGGCCAGTGTGTCATATGTTACGTGCATGTTAATACAGCGCGTTGCTCTGGCTACCTCGGTAGCTTTTTGAACTAGCCACACCGCCCACCCCACGTACCAGCATGAGCTTTGTCTCCCCCATCTGCTCACTCCCATGCTTTTACTTACTTAGACACACAGACACACATAATAACATACATTTTTTTTTTCCATTTAGAATCAGACGCTGCAGGGAGTAGTAAGGTTAAGAATGTGATGTTTGTTTTGCCAGTGGAGACTCAGAGGCTTCAAAAAACTGGATCTGTGTGTTAGGGGTCAGAGGGCACCAGGACACGGAGCAGGGTGAAGAAGGCGGAGAAGGGAGGGCAGGGATTTCTTTTGGGCTACTTGGGAAGCCCAGCATGGGCATTACTTACTGCCTTTTGCTGGCTGGATCGCCTTGGACCCATCCCCAAGGATGGCCCCCGGCTTCTGTGTTCTGGAAAGTTCTCCCTCCCCCCACAGGGAGACCACCTCACAGGGCAGTCAGACTTGAGGGACAGGTGGGAGATGGCATGGTCAGTGAGGTCCACAGCCCACTGTGAACTCGGTCCCCTTTGGGTTCTGTGTTGACCTGGGGCTGGGAACGTGACCTGGATAGCACAGTGTGGGTTTATCCTGGCTGGCTTTGCCTACCTGCGGCCTGTGAAAGTAGAATTCTTGGCTGTCAGAGAAAAAAACCCAGGTCAAGGCCCCTCCTGTCTCCCGAGGGGCTGACGGGGGCCAGACCCACAGCCCCCCTCCTAGATGGCACACACAGGTCAAGCTCACCCAAGGTCACCTTCCTCTTTTTTCCTTCTTCCTGTTGCTCGGTCAGTCGGCTGCTACGTGCTGACCAGCTCAGCGAGTGAAGTGTTCCAACAAGGTCGGGAAGACACGAGAGTTCACGGTGTGCCCGTGCGTGTGTGTGTTCAGTCCTTTGCTGGGGTCAGTGGAGTTACTCCTGGGCGTGCGTTAATCACATTGCAAGGGTCAGAGGGTAGCATCTGGGTGCGGTTTTCCTAAGTAAAATTGTCAAAAGAATTTCCATCTTTGTGCTGCGTGGTAATTACCCAGACAACAAATATGTGGCCCTGCCTTCTGAACAAGGACCCCTTTCTTATGGGATTAACATCCGCAGGATGTTGTGGAAGAGTCATAATTACTTTTTCATGTTCCTGATAATAAAATGACCTTTCAGCTACTTATAATAAAATGAACGCCTTGCATTTGTGGACTTGGTAGCAGGGACGTAGAGGAAGTCAGACTCGAAGGTATTTCCACACGGGGGCAGCGGAGTTTGGGTTTGGCCCCGGCCCCGTAGGACAAGTCTCATGTTTGGACCACACGGGGCAGTGTGACCCGTGGCGGGGACAGATTTGCTACACTATTTGCAGAAACTTCAGAGCCCCCAGCCTGCTCTCAGCATGGAGCCAAGCCCCTTTAAATTTAGTGCTGTTGTCTCCGTGGCCCAGGGGACAGATGCCACCGGCACAGGGCAAGGCCAGGCGCTGAGGACCTGGAGACACAGACACGGCTGGGATAGCAGCAGATACAGGAAGGAATGTCCCCTTGAGTTGAGGGGTTTTTACATCAATAGATTTCCCTTTAATAAATAGTTGGCAAAAGAACAGAGGGAGTGAGATAAATGAAGTCTGGCTTCCACTCTCCGCTCTGCGCCACTCTCCCAGCGTCCTCTGCTCTCCTGGGCTCTCCTGGGCGGTGCTGGCTATGGAGGGGAGGCACTTGTTGCTAATGGCAACCAGGAGCCCGCCCCTCTCTCCCCGGCCAGCTCAGTCCAGGCTACTCTCGGTGAATAACCAAATCCCATGCTTTGCACTACAGACCCTTCTTCTGGTGATGTCACCTGGCAGGCCCATTGGGAAATTCCTGGGTCAGTTATTGAAGTTCCAGATCATCACTATGTGTCCACAAACCAGGTTTCAGTTGTGCCTCCTTTTCTGGCTATGTGCCATTTAGTCCTGTCATTCTGGCCCCCTCGGGTTCTTTGAAGGGAAGACCTACTGTGTTCAGGAGTGGAAGGCCACGGGGAGAGGAAACGAGAACATGCTAGCCTTTAGGAGAGCGTGGTGTGCTGTGTGGGTGCAGCAGGGCGGGTGCTTCTGCAGAGCAGAGGGCGTCCCCAGCAAGAGCTTCCCATCGACTGGTCTCCCTCTGCTCAAGGGTTGAAGCTGAAGGGCCGCCGGTCAGTTATCAGCTAAGCTCAGTCACATGCAAGGGTCAGCAAAACAGCCAGATGATGAAGGGCTCCATGGTGGCTTGGCTAAGACCCTCCACTCCACAGGTGCCTCGAGCCCAAAGGGTGGATCCACGGGGCTCAGCAGTGGGCTGTGGATTGTCACCAGGGGAGACTGGAGTCTATGGAAGATGCTGGAGCAGCCCTTGGCAACCCTGTTCCAGGAGAGAATTTGATCTGCTGTCGGGGACGAGGGAGAGGGACAAGTGGGAGATAATGGAGGTTCCTAGCTTGGGGCAGAATAGTGAGACCATTAAGAAAATGTAGGAAGAGGGTTGGGCCTGGGAACCAGACCATGGACGGGGGAACGTCTGGGTCTATTTGTGGGGTCATTTGCGTTGAGCTCTCTGGAAGGTCTGAGAACCTGGGTCGACAGCTGTGTAGAGAACGTTTGGGTGTAGATTGGGATCTTGACCTGAAACTAGAGAGCACAGGAGGACATCTTTCCTCTGCGAAGGACAAAGGAATGATGGCCACCAATGGGGTTCCAAAGGACACAGACATCTCGGAAGTAGTACAGAGAGGAGGAGGGGGCGAGGGGCTAAGAGCAGACCTGGAGGCTGCTGAGGGTTATGGCAGGGAAAGGCTGGTGGGGACACTGCGGCCTCAGTGGGGGACTCGGTGGCAGGGAGAGGGCTTGGCACAGTGGTTGAGAGGCTAATGGCAAATGTCCCATGAACCACGTCAGGGAGCGTAGAGGATAGAATCCATGTCCGTGGAGAGGAGGACGGTGACGGGCGGCCAGGGGGAAGCAAAGACAGGGAGTTCTACGTGGGACAGAGGGTGGGCCAGGCTGGAGAAGGCCGAGGAAGCGGAGGCCCAGGGTTGGGCCTCCCTTCTGTTTCAGGGGGGCTCTAGTGGCTCCAGCGGTGGGCGCCCCCTGGCTCCTGTGGGGGGGTGCGCACGGTGCCTGGCCTTGGCCAGCAGCAGAAAGGGTGCTGTCCATGGCGGGTGGGTGGAGCCAGGGGCAGAGTGGGGGCTGTCCCCGTCTTCACTGCACGGGCCTGTCTGCCTCCTGGCCTCGCTTGATGATGCCCGTGTGTGCCCCCTGCCTCCGCTGGTCCCCTGAAGGTCCTCAGTGAACCAGAGATGGAGGCACAGATGGGGCCTCCAGCACCCTGCCAACGTCTGTTCTCACCGCTGGGGGTTACCAGCTACTGCACGTGTCTGCACCCCCAGAGCCACCTCACCTGAGCCGCCGCCTCCTCTGTTCCCTGTGGACACCTCTAAAGTCCAGTACCCGAGTCTCGTTGGCTTTTAGTTTGTCTAATTCACCCCGCTCCTACCAGTTGGCTTCTGGCGATCTGGAACCGTCGTCTGAAGATATCCACCAGGTCGACTGTTGTTTTAATCTGGGAAATTCTTTTCCCAAAGCCACTGCAAACTCAGAAGCTCGACTGCCCGGGCTCAAGGACAAGTTCCCTGCCTCGAGTTAACAGGCATTGGACTGCAGAGTTTCTCTGTGCCTCAGTTTCCCTAGCTATACAATGAAAGCTACAGTAGACCCGCTTCATGAAGCTGCTCTGAGGGTTAGAAGACTCGATGCCTCTAATGTCCTTATTGGTAGATCGTCTGGTACATGAAGGACTCAGTAAATAGTCACTAATATTGTTATTTTCCTCGTGGCTATCGAAGTCCCTGAATTATCAACGTCAGCTTTGGCACTGAGCTATAGGAAGCATGACAATATGTGCACACACTCCTTCCACGTGCACACAGCTTTGCTGTGCATCTGGAGGGCCCGGTCCCTCCCCATGTCCCTCTCTACTTGGCCACCCATCCTGCCCCCTCCAGGAATTGGGCCTCCTGCATTTTCCCAATTTTGTCTTTCCCTTCCCAAGGGCTTTCCAGACAGTTCTTGGCTTCAGCTAAGGGCCCTTGGGAACAGAAACATCAATTCAGGGGCTGTCTTGCTTCCCGCAAGTGTTAGTCCCATCTACGGGATGCAATCGGCTCCCGAGTCAGTTAAGGTAAGTGTCCTTCAGGCTCAGGACGTGGATGGAAAACAATTAATGTGAGATGAAACTAAAAGATCGGAAATTGGTTCTGCCCTCCTCCAAAGCACAAGTGGGATTCTTGTCTGCAGAGTGAGGAGGGTAATTTCAGTCTCCTTCCAGCCCTGACATGTCGTGACCCCGGAGAAAGTGCAGGGGGGTACAAACAGGTGGCTGCAAAGGAAATACCAAGGGAGGCGGCCTTTCCGGTCATCTGTCCACTGTTAACATTTGCCTTTGGAACTTTGCTCTCAGGGAAGGCCGCTCAAACGCCCACCTCAAAGGAGATCACCAAAGAATCGGAGACGTCATGCTGAGGAACATTCAGGGCATGAAGGTGAGCGGGGCGGCCTGGGGTGGGCAGGACCCCAGAAGAGGAAGCTGGGCCGCCCAGGCCCCGGCTTTCAGCCCTTCACAGGCACATTGCCGACCCCCTGCAGACACCCGACGCAGAGCAGCGAGCGAGGGTGACAGTCTGCGTGAATTTTCCTCCAGGCTTTCTAGGTGTTACTTGGAGGAAACATTTTTAGTAGTGTTTTTGTTGCTGTTGTTTCAAAGTCTTTGTATTTGCACCCAGAAAAGCAGGTACTTTTTTTTACTGAATAGATCATTCAAAACATTTTTTTAAATGGCAGACAAAACATTGGTTGACTACGTAGCTCATTTCCAGTTGGTGGTTGTGGTTTCTTCTAAGCATGACAAAATATTAGCTGTGTAGGAATTCCAGGAAATCCCATGACTTTAGATCAGCATGGAAGGGTGTGGGTGTGTGCACGTGCGTGCGTGTGGGTGCTTTAGTTTGTTGTGTTTTGTGGTGCTGGGGATTAAACCTAGGCTTTGTACATGCTAGGCAAGCATCTCCTACCTCTGAGCTACACCTCCAGCTTTTTTATTTTGAGTCAAAAGTCTCACTAAGTTGCTGAGGCTGGCCTTGAATTTGCCATCCTCCTGCCTCAGCCTCCTGAGTAGCTGAGTTTATAGTGCACCACCATGCCCAGCTAAGCCAATGTATACTTTTAATCATCCAGTAGTATTTACAATGAAAGTATGCTTGAAGAAGTCAATAAATATTAAACCAGTACTCTACCATATATTTGAAATCTGCCCCTTCTCGTATATCTGGAATTTTTATGTTTTCATTTTCATTTTGACCCATTAATAATTCCTTTACTATAGAGTGTTTTTGTTCACGTAACTTAACTATTGAACACAACTCTTATTTGCATTTTAAAAGCAATCTTCCTGTATCTCAACTGCCTAGAGCCTAATAACTTTAGTAACTAATAACTGCCCAGAGAAAGCAATGACCCCCTAAGAAGGCAGGTGGTCACTTCAGCCTTTGTTTATCCGTTGGTCCAACAGCATCCATCTAGTGCTAACTGAGCACCTACTACATACAATACCCTCATAGAGAAGTTATGGTTGGGGCTTGAATTGATTTCCAAGTCATTTGGCTAAGTTGTTTTGAAAGGGTCAAAAGCTCCAAGATATTTCCTGTCTGTCTGTCTGGGTCGCTGAGGTGCTGGGGTTGAACCAGGGCCAGGTACACACAGGGCAAGCACTCCACCACCAGACTTCACCTCAGCATTCCCCGAAGTCTCTTTCTCTTAACAAAGATGGAGATGTTCTTACCAGCTCCTCCGAGGTTCGCTTTTCCAACCTGCTCAGAGAGCAACCTGCTGCAGTTGTGGGCAGCCTCGGAGAGAAGCGCAGAAGTGGCCGGGACTGCAGCCTCCTGTGCAGGATAAGAAGGCCGGCCCCATCTAAGCCGCCCCACACCAGCGTCATAAGCTACGGTTTTGCACAGCCCTCAGATGTCGCGGTGACAGGCATCTGTGCTGCTCTCCGTGTGAGCTCTATAGTTTAGAGCAGTTTTAGGTTTACAGAATAATTAACAGGAAGCACAGAGTCCCCCAGCGCCCCTCCCACGGTTTCCACTCTTATTACATCTGGGTGGTGGGTGCCTGTGGGACTGGTGAACCAGTGCTGATGTGTCACCATAGCCAGGCCCGCGGTGGGCCTGAGCGCCCCGTGTTGTACATTCTAAGTGTGGACAAGTGTATGGTGACGTGCACCCGCCATGGCAGTGATAGGTGGCTTCACTGCCCTGACAGCCCCTGTGCTTCTCCCACTCACGCCCCCTCCCTGCCGGCCTCCTGCAGTCTCCGTGGCTCTTCCCTGAGAAGGTCCTGAGGCGGGAACCCTGCAGAAGTGGCTCTCAGGCTGGCTTTGTCCACTTGTCTCTCATCGTGTTCCTCTTACCTGAGGTCCCGACCCTGCCAGGCGAGGCCCCCTCCGCAGGCCTAGACTCGGCCACAGGCCTCTGGGCAGCAGCAGGGCCTGCCTGGCTCTTCCCGCACCCGTGGGGACAGTCCCCAGCACCTTGCTTTCTCCAGGTGTCCTTTGTGGCCTTCTCAGACTGTTTGCAGGTGCCCACCACCGCTTCCCCGCCCTCCTCTCTGCTGACCAGCACCACCTGGCCTCTGCCGGCCTCTCCTGCTGGGTCTAAGGAGCTGTGCCTTGCGCTCTCTGGGGCTCCTCAGCTGAGCTGGCATCTCAGCACTGTGCTGGCACCACGTGTTTACGGCTGGAGCTCTGCGCAGTGAAATAAAAATAGATGGGGCGGTGAAGCCACCAACAACCTTTTTAAGGAATGGGTGGGAGGGCCGAGGGCGTGACCAAAGGTGGAGTCCTCAGCTTGCATGCATTGAGCCCTGGCTTCAATCCCAGCACCCTCGACGCCAAAAATAAAAATAATGGGTTGGCTTCTTCTTTTTTTTTTTCCAAATTGTGGTTGCTCTTGTTGATTTTAAAGAATTTTCATAAAGTGTAGAAGGCACATCAGACGGTTGTAGAGAGGTAGAAGCTCGGGTTAGCACTTGTGTCCAAAATGCTTAGGGTGCTGTTAGGTGCTTAGAGTCTGTGACTTTCTTGCTATGCACACACGCACACACACGCACACTCATGCACACACACACGAAGGCATGTGTGATAGGTGCAGTCCAGATAAGCTTTGTGGACTATACCAAGCCAGTTTGCTGGTGCTGATGTGTGCCAGTCATGTGGGACGTCACCCTTAGGGGAGGAGGGGAGTGTGGCTCACAGTGCCTCCCTGCTTCTTTGCAACCTTCTGTAGAGTTTCTACTTCAAAACAGAAGATCTGAAAATAACCCTCGCAGGGGAGTCCCTGGGGAAAGGGCCAACACAGGCAGGTGCAGCATTAAGGACAGGAGGACAGAGGAGTAGACATCAGGGAAGGTTCTAGAACAGGAGCTGGGTAGGGACTCCTGAGCAGGGGCATCATGTGCAGTACCTGGCACTTTCCTGTGCAGTTGGAGGGTGGGTAACCGGGGGTGAGCAGCGGATCGAGGCTGGACAGGTCAGAGGATCACATCCTGAGCACCGCGCATTCAGAGGCACTTCAGAAAGGGGCAAGGAAGTGGAGTGGGTGACACTGACCAGAGGAGGGCTGTGTGCTGAGGGATGGGGCAGATGGCAGCTCTGACGTGTTTGGATCGATTGATAGAACTATGGACAGTGTTCAAAGAAAGAAGAAGTCTAGAGTGTTCCACAGGGTTTTCTGTCCAGAGGAGCTATGTATTGGTAGCACAGATCCTAGAGTCAGAGGGTAAACAGGCAGCCAGGGGGAGGCAGGGCGAGTAGGCTTGTGTGTGGACGCATGCTTTTCAGCTCCTTAGGAGCGTGGCAGTGGTGCGTCACTGAGATAGGACTGTGCCCTGGACTAGAAATGGAGATGTGGGCGTGTCCGTCACCCCCAGGAGAGTAAGCCTGTAGCAGAGGAAGTGGCTCTGGTAGGTGCTCGGCTGTTTCATGAATGAATGGGGTGAGACAAACGGAATGTATTTGCCAAACTGTTTGGTGCTTAGTGAATGGCCCTGGTCAGTTGTCATCTTAAAATACTAGGAAGTAAGCCACAGCCCCACCCCTCAAGGGCCTCCCGTTTGATAGTTCCTGTGTTTTGTGCATTTTGCATGGGAGGTGTTCACTGGGGATTGAACCAGGGGCACTTTACCACTAAACTAGACCCCAGCCCTTTTTAATTTATTTTGAGACAGGGTCTAAGTTGCCCATGCTGGCCTTGAACTTGGGACCCTGCTGCCTCAGCCTCGTAGCTGAGATCGCCACTAGCTGCATGTGCATTTTAAATTGCTTAATGCCTTAATGGAGCTTTTTATTTCGTGCTCAGAACATCATTAAAATAATGAATTAAGTAGTGAAGTAGGAAAACTGAAATTTAAAGAGATTAAATAAACGTGATGATGTAATGGGTGCAATGCACGTCCATAAGCCCAACTGGGCACCAGAGCGTGCTGGTCCGTGGCTCAGGACTCCCCCTCTCACCCCACAAGCCCCTGGCAGCGCACCTCTGGAAGCATGGCGAGGCACTGGAGGCGCTGGAGAACGCTATCAGGAGCTCGCGGCGCCTGGAGCTCCTCTGCAGAGACTTCGAGCTGCAGAAGGTGTGTTACCTGCCGCTCAACACCTTCCTCCTGCGCCCGCTGCACCGGCTCATGCACTACCAGCAGGTCCTGGAGCGTCTGTGCAAGCACCACGCACCCAGCCACGCAGACTTCAGGGACTGCCGAGGTGAGCCCGGGACGGCCAGCGAATGCCGACGGCAGGTTTCCACAGTCCCCTGTCCCCTCTTGGTCCCTGCGTGGAAAGGCGCTACTCCTCCTTCACCTCGTGCACGCATTCCTTCCTTTGAGCCTGGGAGGCTGGGGGCAAAGAACCCTGGAGGCGCCCACTTAGAACGGCTTCCACCTGTGTGGGTGAAACGCCATACTCCTACCTGCCACAGAAGGGGGCTGGTCCCTGATCCTCGTGCTCAGTACCATTGGGCATTTGTGATGTGCCAGTCACCTTAATAAGCCTTTCCCCTGAGTTAACTCCACCTTCCTCACCAGCCTGAGGCATGGGAGTGAGCTCATTTTACCTATGGAGACTACTGACATCAGAGAGGTTAAGGAATCTGTCCAGAGCTACGCAGCTGGCAAGTAAATGGTATGGAACCTGGATCACGCTTCCCTACGGTCTCAAGATGATGTACTCCCTCAAAGTGCCCAGGCCAGGCACAGGGCCTACTTTGTCACCTTTACTCCTTCAACAGTCCCATTTTATAGACAAGGAAGCAGAGGTCAGAGGTGGAAGGGATCCAGGAGTGCACTCTTGTCCCACTGAGCCACACAGTGTTTTGAGCCTGGCTCCTTCTGTCCCGTGTTACATGTACTCTGTTGGCATTTATGCTCCCTGGCCTCAGCCCCAAGTCCCTTGCGAGTCAGGGCTGTTGCTGAGTCAGTCCCCTCCCCTCTCCAGCCAGGGCTGCCTCCAGAGTGGGCCCTTTGGAGGTGCCTCTTGAACACACTGCATGGAGTCTGTGTGTCCCTTGCATGTCAGGCCCCCTGCTCTTGTCTGAAGGCTCAGACACCCTCCCGTCTCCTGGGCTACCTGTTACTGTTCTCCAGACGCGTCTTTTCCCTCCTCCTTTGCTTGAAACTCAAGCGGCCCCTGCCTCCAACTAAAATCTAAACCCGTTCTGACCTGCACCCCGTTCCTCATGCACCAGATCCACACTGCTGTGGGTGCCTGGGAGGTGGAACGCTGGGATCCCGGCCCTGAGAGGGCCTGCTGTAAACGCAGGGTGGACAGGGATGTCCACGGTGAGGATACAGTGTAAGTGGGAGCTTTGCAGGATGAGGGGAGGGTCGGAGAATAGGGAGCAGCACAAATACAGGTATGCACAGGTCCAAAGGGGAGAGAACTCATGGAACATTCCAGAAAGCAGAAGTGCTGGGTGCCCTCTGTGTGGAGTGCAGAGAAGTGGGCCGACCAGAAGCCTGGAAGAGTGAACAGGGCCCGGAACCACAGGGTCTTGTAGATGTGGCGAGCTGACCTGGCGGCAGAGGGAGGGCAGGAAGGGTTCTCGTGGCGGGGGTCCCGACGGTGGCTCTCGGTATCTAGAACATACGGGATCTCCTTCAGATCGTCTTTTAAAACACAGCTCAATAGAAGACTTGGCAAAGTCGATGAAGACGGTGGCGGCTCATGCCCAACGGGCAGAGCTGCTTTAGATGTCAAGGTTTCTCTAGACCATCAAAAGCCTGTGAAACCAGCCACTGCCACGGCGTGGTGCCTTGTGTCCCTGCCTCCCGCATCACTGCCAGCACCTCCTCGGCCTTCCCTGCAAACCCGTCCTCGTCCCGAAGCCTCAGCTGGCACCTGAACTCAACGTTGGGTGGCCTCGCCCCCCTTGTCCTGGTGTCCTGGCATTGCCAATTGCTGTGCCAGGACAAGGTGACCGAAGGCCTCTCCCAACTCTGAGGACCCCACAGGTGTGTCACTCGGGAGGGAGAGGGGACACTGGGACTTGCACTTGCCATCACTGGCAGACTTGGCCACTTTGTTCTATTTTTTTAAGCAATCCCTGATGTTGGAATAGTTTATCTTTGACAATTAAATAGAAAGATGTGCTTGTTTCCTAGCTCAAGCAGAGTGGCCCCACTGTAGAGAGGGTGCACGCAGGTAGGCCTGAGCACAGAAGGCCTGAGCTGAGGGAGGCCAGGTGCCCTCCTCTCCTCTCCCAGCCTCCTCACTCCCAACCCACTGAGTACTGGTGCCCAGTAGAGGTTTATTGGACCAAGTGGGTGGTAATGTCCGAAGACAGAGGAAAACTCTAGGGTTTGTCACTGTGGCTGAGGGGAAGCCGTCTGTGGTAAGCCAGGAAGTGCTTGCTTTGCATCCGAGGAGAAATCAAGACTGCTAACACTTGCCTTCTGGAACCGGAGGATGGGCAGGAGGAATTTGGTGTCCTGAAGACTGAAAATCAGTGGCACATGTTTCTGGACAGAATTGTCACATGCCCAGCCACTGCGGGCTTGTGTGCCCCCCTGATGCCTGGTTGCTGGCTCTGGGCAGCTCCTTTGGCATGTCTCAGTCGCTCTTTGCACCCTCTTGGTAAGCAGGGTAATGTCCACAGGAGGAAGAGCAGGTGCACTGATGCTAGTCCCCGAGTGTCGCAGTACAGGCCCCTCCAACACTGGCTGGCGGTCCCCACACTTCTGTGGCCTCTCTGTACTCACCGGGCCCTGCTCTCTCCAGGAAAGAGGCAGAATTCAGGGCGCCCTCATTCCCATGTCTTTCCCTCGATGCCCACGAGTCCTTTTACCTGAGGGGCAGCCATGCACCACGAGGCCATGCCGAGTCCCCTGCCTCCTCGAGGTGCTGCAGGGAAACCGGGTCAGCAAATCTGGCCTTAAAGCAAATCCCGCGGTTTCTCTGATTGAGCAGCAGCCGCGCGTCCCCACAGGACAGGCCCTGAAATGCACAGTTCTGGAGAATCTAGCTGAGAGCCCGGGGAGAGGCTCTGGCCTGCACTAACCTGGGTGCTTGTGTCTCCTTCACCAGCCGCGTTGGCAGAGATGACTGAAATGGTGGCGCAGTTGCACGGTACGATGATCAAGATGGAGAACTTCCAGAAGCTGCATGAACTCAAGAAAGACTTGATTGGCATTGACAATCTCGTGGTTCCCGGGAGGGTAAGCGGAGGGAGCAGGACATAGAGTCAGAGAGAGGCCTCGGGGCTTAGAGCTTGTGGACCACGGACACTCTCAAGTTCAAGGGCCCTCCCCCTGCCCCCCGGGAGGCCACTGGAAAAACCCTTTGAACATGACAGTGTCATTCAGAATCTGTGTAGGGAGGGGAAAGGGAAATCCTCTGACCTCACATTCTGTTTCTTCTCCTTATTTGTTGATTATTTTCTTTTCCCTATTGCATTCCAGGGAGGATTTAAGACAGCCTGTTTTGTTTTTTAAAACTTAGGTAAATGAGTGGCTGAGGGTGCATCTTAGTGGTAGAGCAGTTACCTAACATGCCTGAGGCCCTCCATTCAATCCCAGCACAAAACAAAAAAATGAAATTTAATGAAAATGGAAGAGAAAGAGAAAGAAAAGGACTAGATAAAATGGTGATCTAAAAGCAGAGAAGTTGTTAGTGCATGAAAGTGTCTATAAGATCCCATTCAAGTTCGGTACTTTTTTTTAAAGATGCAAAATTTTAATACATAAGTTTCATTTAAAATCAAAATGACATTTGAAACAATTCTGGGAGATACAGGTTCACTTATGGTATCAACTTGTACCTACCCAGCACCCTCCATGAGAAGCAGGTCATTAGCAATGGGTGGGACTTCCAGTACACACACACACACTCACACACACACACACACACACCCACTCCCACCAGGTAGAGGAACAGACAAGATGGGGAAAAGCCTGCTTTTTCCAGTTCCCTTCTCAGGAAGCAATCATTGCTCAGGAACCAAAAGTGATCATTCTTTGCCATATCTATCAAATTCCTCTGGAATCTTGGTCCGGCTGCCTCTCCCTCTTCAAACTCTGTGCCTCCCAGATTCAGGCCTCTGCTCTGCTGCATGCCAGCCTTACCCTTAGGACAAGCCCCCTGAACGTCGGGCCTTGCAGGCTCATCTAACAGGTAGCGGCCTCGGCACTGGGGGAGCACGTGGGGAGGTTCCCCGGGCGTCACCGCCAGAAGCCTAATCACAAAACTGACGGGAAAGGGCAAACAAGCTTTGGGAGACTCATCCGAGTTCTGTGGTGGGTACTGGGTGGAGATGAAGGCTGGGATGAAGAGAGTTCTGCCTGGTCCCAACACGTAGCAGCCTCGTCTGCCTTCCATGGAATCGATGTAATTTTATTTAAACAGAACTCTACAAGACATTAATGCATTAGGCCGAGGTGAACAGGCCACTTGTAAGGATTTCTCATTTTGAGGGAACGGTTTCCAGCGAGTGAAGAGAGCACTGGATTGGAATAGGCAGCCACAGGTTCAAATTCTGGCTCTATCAGAGCCGGGACGATGGAACTGGAAGGGGATCTTATCCTCCCCGTCATGGGTCAGGAAGATCAGGAGGTTTATTATATAAGAAGATGCAGTACATCTTACCTTCCGTCTCCCCTCCCACTTACAAAGGGGACCAAGCATACCCTTCCTGCGTTATGGACGGTGCCACAGCACCCCAAGCATCATGAGCCTTTCGCGGTGGTGCTCAGTCACCCCTGGCTGACCAGGCGGTCTTGGGCTCATTTCTTCCTGACTTTGCTCCTCAGTTTCCTTATCTGGAAGTGGGGATAATACTGTTGAACGTCAGGCTGGCGTGAGGGGCCACTACGCCCACCCGGGACGTGTCAGACATACTGTGCACTCAGCAAGGGGAGGTCGTGTTTGCTTCCAGAGGTGAAGCTGCAGTGGGGGTGCTGCTTACCGGCTTCAGGGCCACCTCACTTTCCTAGGCTCTGTCCCCCCAGCCACCTGCCTTCCTTGTTGCTTCAAGTCAACCCCAAACAAAATGGGAGCAGCGTCACGGGCTCTCAGAGGGAGCGAGTTCCAGGATAGACAGCAGTGAGGGTGGCACGGCACTGAAGGCACAGCTGATGCGCGTGGGACAGTCCATGTGTGCTCTATCCCAACGTAAAAATGACCATTAGCTGGAAGTGGTGCAGTACAGCTGCTCAGGAGGCCAAGGTGGGAGGACAGCTTGAATCCCGGGGTTCAAGGACAGCCAGGGCAACATGGCCCCCGTCCCAAAAGAAAGAAAAGGTTGCTGTTTGGTTTTCAAAGTCCCTGCCCTACACAGCACAACCTCGTCCTCATGGATCTGGGGGAAAATGTGACTGGGGATGCCGAGTGCCTTGGTTCCTCTGGTTTCTAAGACCCGGAGTCGGAACTCACAGACAAGATTCTCTGTCTTCTGCACTATCTTCCCAGTCCCTGGCCGACACTTTGTGCAGTTGGGGTCCCTGTCCTCTCCTTCACGGTGAGGAGCATGGAGCTGGGGATAGCCCTCATCCTCAGAGGGGCTGTGGCTCCCTGCATGTGAGCACATGCTTCCTGCTAGCCTGAACCCCAGTTTCCTGTGAGGTGCCTCCAATGGGGCACCTGCCGTGAAGGCCCCTGGGAAAGACAGCGGTGCTTAGTGGCAGCCTGGCCTGGCCCCGGGATGCAGTAACTGGTGGCCTCACTCAGCAGGACAGGGCCGCGGGTGCAGGGGGCCTTGCGCTCTTGGTACATCTGGCTGTGTCTGCTCCGCAGGAGTTCATCCGCCTGGGCAGCCTCAGCAAGCTCTCGGGGAAGGGGCTCCAGCAGCGCATGTTTTTCCTGGTAAGTGGTGAGAGCGATGTGTCCTCTCGATGGCCCCCGGACCCATGTTGTCACAGGGCTAGAGATCATAAGGCCATGGCCACCCAAGGGACCCTGGCAGGCAGGAAGAGCAGCTCCCTGGGTTTCCCAGAGACTTGGGGAAATGCACTGACTGCCCTGATGGCATCCAGCGGAGCCCACTCACCCGCCACTCCGCCTGTTCCTCTAGTTCAACGACGTCTTGCTGTACACCAGCCGGGGACTGACCGCCTCCAACCAGTTTAAAGTCCACGGGCAGCTCCCGCTCTATGGCATGACGGTGAGTGCGCTCTGCAGGCAGCAGCAGAGGGAGCACGCCTCTGATGGGAGGAGCCAAAGGGCGAGGCTGGGCAGGAAGTGGAGGACAGGACCCTCCCGGGTGGGAAGACTGGGCCCTGAAGACCAGTGGCTCTCCAGTCCTGCCCCGTCCCCTGAAAGAACAGCCTTCTAGGGCCCTCCTGGTAGGAACACTGCCCCTCCTCCTGCTTGTGGGAGGCCACCAGTGCTTCCTTCTGGAACCAAGTAGAGGCCTGCTGCCTGCCTCTGTGTGACTCTGCCCCTCCCAGCCTGGCGGGCAGCTTCACCACACACAAGGAATGGTGGAGTTGGGGCTAGACCAGCTTGTCCCCCGCAAGAAGAGCCAGTGGCCAGGGCCCCAACCCCTGGTCAAGCAGGTGCACATGAGACACCTCGCTGCAGGATTGTGATCTTGGCTTATGGTGGCCTCCTTAGGAGGTGGACAGAGAGGTGCATGGGCTCTCACGGTAACATGGTGAACTCTTGCCCCACAGATCGAGGAGAGCGAGGACGAGTGGGGGGTGCCCCACTGCCTGACCCTCCGAGGCCAGCGGCAATCCATCATCGTGGCCGCCAGGTAACTCTGGAATCTGACCGCTTACCGTCTACCTTTGACCTGCTGTGTCTGAGAAGCTGACACCCATCTCTGTCCTCAGTTCTCGGTCCGAGATGGAAAAGTGGATTGAGGACATCCAGATGGCCATTGACCTGGCAGAGAAGAGCAGTGGCCCCACACCTGAGTTCCTGGCCAGCAGCCCCCCGGACAACAGTGAGTGGTGGGGAAGCTTCCTGGGGCAGCACCCAAGCCCATGGCCATAGGGCTCACCGTGGAGGGGTGGCCTGGCTCTGCACCCCTGGCAGGTGGTCCCTCAGCCACAGTCTGTGTTTGAGTTTAAGGCTAGAAATCAACAAAAGCTCTTTTTCTGAAAGTTAAACTGTGGAAACATGCAAAGGGGCAGGGAAGTCACCCGCTCTGGGCCGGCACTGCTGCCCGGCAGTTGGTGTCCAAGGAGACGGGCAGGCTGCTGTGTAGGACCACAGGCCAGGCACCCAGATGTGCAGGGGCTCCCTGGCAGAGGCAGGTGGGCCAGGGCATGCTCCCAGGCCTCGCTAGACCCCTGCTTAGTGGGTGCCCTGGGGACCACGCTGAGTCCCCCAGCCTTCCGAGCCTCCCCCAGTGCTTTGGAGGGCATCAGGAAAAGGCTTCACACGGGGAGACACCAGTGTGGCTTCCTGTCATCCTGCAGAGTCCCCCGACGAAGCCACCACGGCCGACCAGGAGTCGGAGGACGACCTGAGTGCCTCACGCACCTCGCTGGAGCGCCAGGCCCCTCACCGCGGCAACACGATGGTGCACGTGTGCTGGCACCGCAACACCAGCGTCTCCATGGTGGACTTCAGCGTCGCCGTGGAGGTACCCGTGGAGTGCGGAGGTGGCGGCTGGGTGGCTCTCATCCCTACCTTGCACCTGCCCAGGCAGAGCACGTGCAGCCTCCGGCCCGGGGGTCTGCAGTGAGCCCGGCCCTGTGCCTGGCCATTGGCAGCTGAGCAGGGAGGACGGAGCCCGGGGCTTGAGTCTGCTGTGGTCATCCCCACGGGGGCAGAGGAGTGGGCGTTGTCCTCTGCCACTGCAGCTGCGGCTCCTGCTGTCCGTCAGTCTTCACTGCCACCTACAGGAGTCTTGGTTTTCTTTCGTTCTCCCGTTTCTTTCCTCTAGGGGACTGGGTCACAGGGCAGCGTCTGTTCACGTGTGCAGCCGTGAGTCCAGGGCCATGTCCTGGAGCTGTCACCTGGAAATCGGGTGTATGAGGAGGTTGTGGGGTCTGACAATCGGCAAGCTGGTGCCAGCAGGGCGGGGCCCTCCAGGGGCTCTCTGGGACTCACCCTGAACGTAGGCCTCCTTGATCACAACTGTGAAGGCTTCCAGACCTTTCCAAACCCCCTTTTCCAGCTCAGGTCTGAAGTGACTTTAAGAACCTTCCAAGCCCAGAAAACTGAAAACAGGGGCTTTCTCATCTCCCCTGGCCAGCAGCACCCACCTGGCTGTACGCGGCCATCGGTGTCTCTCAAGTTGTGTGCACGCTCCGTCTCGTATGAAATCGTCACTGTGTGTGACTGTGGCTGGCCCCCTGGCCCCCACTGAGGTAGAGGCTGGACTCAGCTTCTAAAACACAGGAAGTTCTCGTTCCCAAACGTGCCTGGGCCACAGCATCACGTGAGGGTTCGCTGGCTCCGATCAGGCAGGCTGGGAGAGGTGTTCTCTGGAAGTGACCTTCATGGTCCTACCCACCTTTCTGAGCTTCCTGCTATACCCTGTGTTGGGAAGATACTCTCTGTGGACATGGCGAGGCCAGGCACTCACTGTCCCTGCCCCAGGCAGTTTCTTCCTGGCCACTCCCACTGGGCTCTGCCCATGGAGGCCGCTGTGCCTGGTCAGTGGGCACTGTTCCCTCTCCCTCCCGCTCACAGGCCACATGCTCCGCACTCCGCCTCCACCGCACCCTCCCTCTGGGTGTGTGTGAAACTTGCTGGGAGCGGGAAGCCACTCAAGCGTGCAGTGAGGGGCAGGCAGCCTGGGGGCACCTCTACAAGCCCCGCACTCCTTCACGCACCATCTACAGAATGGCGGGTGTCTTCAGGGTCGGGAGAGCCAGACAAGCAACCTGGCCCGCACGCACGCCAGATCCAGCGACACCTGGCCGCTTCCCGCCCTGAACTAGGAGTGGGCCCATGTTTCCCAGTGGTTTCTGGGTACTGGCTCCGATTTTGCCTGCACAGCCTGTGACACTTACTGCGGCCCCAAGGAGAAGCTGGCCACCCTCAGGAGCCAGCATGAATGCCCGTGGGTGGCTTTGGGGGGCAATAATGCAGGTTAAAATTTTGTGGGACTGGCCAGGGTGTCTCCCACACGTCCCCTCCATATGAAAGTCCCTCCCAAGGCACAGCACTTCAGTCTGGCCTCTGAGGTGGGTGGCCTCATGTGCCAGGTGCCAAAATGCTCCTGGACCAGCTGGTGAGCCTCGGGCCTCCCCTGAGAGGAAGGGGCGGCTCCTGTCCTCCCAGCCATGACCCTTCCTCAGCCTGTGCCCGGCTTCTGTCTGCTGTGATTTGTGCAGGTAGAAGTGAGCACCGGGAGGCTTGGGGACGGCATGAAGATGAGCTGGCTGTGGCAAGGGGGTCCCCTCGGCCAGTTGTAGGGGTCCAGACAACAGGTCGTAGGGTAGGACTGCCAACTGAGGGAAGCCGTGCAGCTGGCGGAGCCAGCAAGGGCTTTGAAAGATCATAGTTGTCTTTTAAGATTGTACTGGGGACAGTGCCCCTCTGGGAAGTTCTTTGGCAGATAGACACTGACTCGGAGGACAGTGAGAGAGTGCAATGCAGAGAGGGGGACAGGACGGTTCACTTCCTGTGGCTGCTGTGACAGGACCGCACACCCATCAAAAGGCAGCTCGCTCTCCCACAGCACAGGAAGCCCCGGCATCAGGGAGGTGGTGGGGCTGGTTCCTGCTGGAGGCGCGTGGGGGAAATCTATTCCCTGCCTCTCTGCTGGCTTCTTGCCGGTGTGATACTGCTAGGGCACCGACAGTCCTTGGCTCAGTCATGTCACATCACTAGTCTGCAGCCACATGGTCTGCTCCCTGGGTACAAATCTCTCTTTATAGGAGCACCGTCCACATCGATCCTACTTGTAAGAGGTCACGTTCACAAGTAATAGGGGTTTGGACTTGGACATGTCTTTGGGGACATACCGTTCAGCCCACCCACAATGGGCTGAGATGGACAGCAAGAGGGGGCAGAGCAAGGAGGCCTCTGTCAGTCAGGAAGATGAGAGGGGTCTCTGGGGACAGCATCAAGGAAACGGGGCATTGGCTGGTTCTGGGAGAAGCAAGTGGAGACCCAGACACGGAGACGCCCAAGACATGCACTCACAGGGTTCAGCCCACAAGAGCAGAAGGGACAGGGAACTTCACCGAGAGTCCATTGGGGCAGCAGCTGTAGAGGCTGCGAGGACAGAGCAAGGCTTCAGGTGGCTGGTAGAAGCAGGGCATCCCGAGGAGCCTGCCTCAGAATATGGGCCTGGAATGGGGCGGATGGACGCAGTGTCTGACCCCTGGGTGGGCTGGCTTGGGTGTAAGAGGATGCGTGAGAGGACATGGGAAAAGTCCTCCTGTCTAACATGGGGTCCTTACCTCTGGTGTGCCATGGTGTGATACTGCTAGGTCACCAAATCCCCAGCTCAGCCCTGGGTGTCACCATCTGCTGGGAGCCCTGCACTCCCTTGTCCCTGAGAGGGGATGGCAGTCAGACAAGGGGACAGAAGGTTAGAGCTGCCCGCTGGCCTGGGACACCCTCTCCACTGTAGCTGTGGTCCCCGGGCAGGGGCCCCGTCTTTCCTGCACCCTCTCAGCTCACTGTTCATTCCGCCCCTCCCCCATCAGACTGTGAGCAGCTGGAGAGAGACGTCAAACATCTTCCATCTCAGCTCCTGGCCCAGGCCTTTACTTGCTTGTGTGGGTACTTAGAGGAATGGAGTAAATAGCTTTTGCTTTTTAAAACTGGTAAAATTTAAAATTTGGCAAATTAGCCATTTCTAAGTGGACAGGTGAGTGGCACTCATCTTCTTTAAAGGTTGTGCCCCCATTACCACCTTCCCACCTGAGTCTCCCCTGGTGGTGCCACCTTGACAAAGGAAACCAAGGAGACCTGGCTTGTCAGAAAGTCCCCCGGTCGCCTCAGCATTCTCTGGCCCAGTGAGGTGTCCGTCCTTTGCTCCCATCGGGGCTGCCTGTGCGTCTTTAGCAGCAGCTGACCCAGGTCTCAAGGTGACCACAGGACCTGTGGGATTAGCCCAGGACACTGGAGACAGGGCCTGGACCCGCCCTGCCTGGCTGAGTGCAGCTTCTGGCCCTGGCCCACTAGGTGGCGGTCAGGAGCTACGGGTGAGGGTGTCCTTCAAGCCTTGGTGGCCGGATGGATCTGTTTCCTAGGAAAGGAAGGACCACAAAGACAGTGGCTTAGAGCAGAAATTTGTTCTCCCATGGTTTCTGGGGGCCACAAGGTCAAAAATCAAGCTGTCAGTGGGGCCAAGACCCTGGAAGCCAAGGGACCCTTCCTCGCCTCTTTCGTATTGTTTGTTGGCAGAGTGTGATGTTGCTGTGGGCCCCTGCCCCACTGCACAAGGAGTCCTTCCTGTGTGTCCCTCCCCCTAGGGACAGCACTCACATTTCAAGTCCCTCTTCCCCACTGGGACCTCATTTTAACTTATACCTGAGCCCACCTACTTTACTAAGGTCACATTCTGAGACACTGCAGGTGAAGCCCCGGCATTTCTCTTGGGAGGATACGACTTAACCTGTAACAGGGGACAAGGAGAATTACTCAGGCCCAGCCCACTCGACCCAAGGGCTTCTCCACCTGCCAGGGAGTGGTGGGCCTTTTCCTAGTCAGGGCACGCCTAGGCCACAGGAAGCCTGTTCTTAGAACCTGGGCACCTCCCGTGACCACCACACGGCACGATGGGCATCGAGGCCACGCTGTCTTGCCGGGGCCATTCCCTGTGCCCCTGACTGGCCGCTTGTCTTGCAGAACCAGCTGTCTGGGAGCCTGCTGAGGAAATTCAAAAACAGCAATGGGTGGCAGAAGCTGTGGGTGGTGTTCACGAACTTCTGCCTGTTCTTCTACAAGTCACACCAGGTAGGTACCTTGCCCAGGTCAGGTGGCCCTGGGACCTTAGGGATGGGGACCGAGTGAAGTGTGCCTGGCCTGGGAAGAGTGGCGGCAACTCGGGGCTTCCTACGGCACCCTCCCTGCAGGCAGGCGGCCTCCCCTGGGGAGACAGATGGGGCTCCCCTGCTCAGCCCCTGCTGGGCGTGGAGAAGCAGGTGCTCGGGGTCCTGCACTGGGCCTGTAGGGGGGCCGCGGCTCAGCGAAGGCTGATGTTAACTGTTGGCTAAAGGAGAGTCTGGCTGCTGCTTGGACAAGGAAAGGGGATCGTGTGGGGCCCGTGTCCTCCTGGAGTCATGAGCTGGACCTCGCTGCACTGGCCAAGACCGTGACGGCCTCTAGTCCCTTCCCTGCAGACCCATGTCCTGGGGTGGAACTGCCTGGGCTCCAGAGCTGCTTCAGGTGGGGGGCAGTAGCCAGGCGCAGCCTCCTCCCCAAGCCACCTTTGTGCCCTTCCCAGGACAATCATCCCCTCGCCAGCCTGCCTCTGCTCGGGTACTCGCTCACCATCCCCTCGGAGGCTGAGAACATCCACAAGGACTATGTGTTCAAGCTGCACTTCAAGTCCCACGTGTACTACTTCAGGGCTGAAAGCGAATACACGTTCGAAAGGTAAACGTCCGACACTGGGTCCTGGGCAGGCAGGGGACACCCCCGGGTGGGCCTGCATTTACTCCCTAGAGCTGGCTCCCCTCCCTGCCTGGTGCCCACGCGCCCTTGCTCCTGGGAGGCCAGTGCAGTCTTGGCTTCCTGGGTGCTACCCTGCTCACGCCACCAACCCTGCGCCTTTAGGTCTCTTAACGTGTGCGCGTTGTCAGGAAGCGAAGCTGAGGCCCGTGGCGGGGAGCGGGCTCGGGGACTGCCGCCCTCCCTTGCTAGGCTCAGCTGTCACAGTACACCTAACTGGGCGATGACCAAGAATGTCCCCGTCGTCAAAGGGCCACAGGAAGCAGGAAGAGCTTACATGCCTCAGGGCTCTCCTCTCTGCCGCTGTCTGCATGACGTAGTGAGCTATTTAGCCAAGAAATGAGTGGACAAAGGAGCCAGGCCACTGGGCATGAGCTACACCTTGAGGCTACTCCTGAAATTCACATTTTTAGATAGAAATTCTGAGCCTCTGGGAAATGCACTCCATAGCACACCTCTGATGTAGCTGTCATTGCTGTCCTTGGTGACAGAGCCCTCAGGCTAGACAGGGCAGTAGTTACCACTCAGGGGCCAGGTCAGTGCCCCTCCTAGGGAGCAGCTTGTCTCCCGGCCACGGTGTTCAGACAGTGAGTTCTATGGGTGCTCAGGTCCACAAGGACTGCTAAATGGGCCGATCATGAACTGTACACAACGCCTTGTAATGTCCAGGAGACCTAACAGTTCTTGAGCAACAGTTTGCCACTGAGCCCACAGGATAGTGATCCTCACACTTGATCCTGGACTTGGATCAAGGAGCTGAGCTGGATCCGTCTAACTTGGGAGCTGCATGAAGGTCCTCCGTCAAGGAGGAAGCTTGGTTCAGCCCAGCTCCCCGACCTCAGTCCTACGGACACTTTGAACCAGAGGGACCGGGGACGGGGAAGCTGCCCTGGCTGCTAATCCTCCAGACTTTGCCAGATGACCCCTGGGGACATGTTACTACAGCATAAAATGGATTCCCCACCAAGCAGGTCGGGAAACATTCAGTATCCTCAGAAAAGATCAGGAGGTAGAGCTCTCCCACACAGCCAAAGCCACCTCATCCTAAATTGGTCAAAGTGAGCCTGTGGCCTCCCGTGCCTCTGGCTCCTGTGGTTCTCAAACTGCATTCCTTGGGGACCCCTAGAGGAACCTTCTGTTTTAACTCTAACTTACAAACTCTGCTGCCAAAATGACCAATTACAAACCAGTTGGGCTTCCATGACATCGTGTTTTTGCCAATGGCAGCACAGAACCATGAAACTGAATAAAGTGGCCCAAAATAGCCCTGTCACCTTCTTCTGTTTCAGGTGGATGGAAGTGATCCGAAGTGCCACCAGCTCTGCCTCTCGGGCCCATGTTTCAAGTCACAAAGAATCTCACATGTATTGATGGCTGGACGCACTCCATGGCTGGCTCACCGTCTGTGACGAAGCCAGCCACACTGTCACCTGTCTGAACATGGTTTCACAGTGACTCTCGCCCGTCTCCCTCCGCGGCCATCTCCTCACCTTGTCTTCTCCACTGCTGATTTCTCCTTGGAACGGGGCCTCCCACTTCCAGGCCTGGGGGCCTTCCGCCGTCATTCTCATGGGGACTGTTCTTGGGCTTGTGCCAGTATTGCAGCATTGTCATTAAAGAGTGCCAAACGACATTCCTTCCCCACGACTGCACCTCTAACACGGTGCACACACATCCGTTCAACCGAGGACAGGGCAAGTGCTCTTCTTTTTCTTAGAAAAGGACTTTTAGTATTCCACCTGCGGGCTGCTGTTTTAAAAATGGATTTTTCCAGTGTGGCGGTCTTAAGCAAATGAGATCGTTTTCAGGTTTCATTTCCCCCCCAATCTTTCTACTTTTATAACAGGAGGTCCACAGGACTCACTTTCCTTGACTAATAAGCAGTTCCCAGCGCACTCCGCTCCGCTGAGGGGTCCACGCTCCAGTGACACACACTTGTTACCTGGCCTACTTCTTGGCGAAGTTGACCAAATCGATTCCTCTTTACAAACCGTAGCGGGTTGTTTTCTGTTTGGAGGAGCAGGGACCCAGTGCGCCCCTGACTGCTGCTGTACTGTGAGTGGTGTGTACGATGGTGTTTGCTGTGTTTCACAAGCATGAGAACCTGTGTGTCACTGACCAGGGCCATTTGTGCTGTTCCGTTCTGGGGTGTCATGTGAGCTTCATGGATGCAGGAGCCTGTACAGTAATGGTACGTAGTCCCAGCCCCCGTGACCAGACCCATCCCCTCCCGCCTCCGTGGTTGGAAACCACGCGTTCTCTAGTAGTTATCTACCGTGCCTGTCTTCACTCTTTAGACTCATCCCCCGGGCATGGGGTACCGGCAGAGTGACACTGCACCCCCTGGACAGTCACGCTTCGCTGGGAACCTGGTGTCCCAGTGCCCACAGGTGGGCAGTGTCGACCCATTCCCTGTGGCGACCAGGTGGCTGCCATTCCCTTAGCACTCTTGAGCCCTGCCTGACGTTAGTCGGCCAATTCAGCACAGTTCTGTCCCATGTCCTCACAGGGAGGCCACTTCCCTGAACAGTGGGCACACCGTCATGGAGCTGTGGCTGGTGTCCACGAGTGACAGGCGGACAAGAGCTCAAGACGTGTCATCCTTTGCCTTACAATATGTACCAGATGGTTGCAAGCACTAACAAAGGGAATAAAAATACCTCACGCCAAAATCCAGCATATTGAAGTTTTAAGGCAAAAACAGACCAGCACTGTCTCTTGTCTTTATTGTGCACATGTGGCGGGAACAGGGACCAAGGGCCTACAATGCCACCTCGGCAGGGGCAGGGTGGGTGGACGTGAGAGGGAGGAGGACAGGCTCGGGAGATAGAACCGGTGTGGACAGACTGGGAGGACCTTCCACTTTCCCTTGGAAGAAGCCCCTGATGAACAGCCTGGAGAACTAGTTCCCAGCAGGCTTCTCCCAAACTGGGGGGGGGGGGGGGGGGGGGGTCAGGGAGATGCTAAGGGGCCAAGGGGCAGAGCAGTATCAGGAACATACTTCCTCTAGAACTTACCTGAACTGAGTGACATCCCCAACTCATTCAGGAACACCTGGGGACGAGGTGGTTCCCTACCTCAGCATTTCTGAATGGTTCCAAACCACCTGCCGGACACCTGTGGTTCCCATCTGTGACCAGCTCCTCTGTTCCCCGTGTGGCTTCAGAGAAAAACGGAAAATAACATAGGCACCAAGTCTACTCCCGATGGGCTGCCAGGGGAGGTGGCGTTCCAGAGACCCCTCTACACGCAAGACAAAGACCATCGTTTGCTGAGCCCTTTGCTAACCCTTGCATGACCCAGTGGGTGCTCAAGAACACACTATGGGGCCTCTGCCTTCACTGCCATATTTCGTGGTAGAAATGCAGCCCTGTTCCTGAAGGAAGAAAGTATCAAATACTTATCAACTGGCAACTCATGACTAAAGGACCAAGCCAGACACTTCACAAGAGCAACTCAAGAACAGAACTGTCCACTTGGAAGACAGGTGGCACTCAGTTCGTCAGGAAAGCGAGGGCCCAGCTGTTAGGTGGTCGAGACATCTGGAACCACCCTGGGCTCCACCTCCCGGGTGCAGCCAGCAGGACGCAGAGAAACAACTTCAAAAAGGCAGAAGCCATGGCTGAGCAGTCAGCTCACAGCCACCGCTTCATGGTGGCCACAGTTACATGACTCACAGGCCCTGGGCTGAGGAGCCAGGAGCAGGTCAGGTTTGGCATCAGGAGACTTCAAGTGACTGCAAACCCCCAAACGCTGAGCTCACAGACTCGGCTGAAGACCAGTAGCCGTCGGCACTACTGAGGCAGGTTCCAATCGGAGCTCTGGCACCTGGCTCCTCTTCAGTGAAAGACTGGAAATGTGGGGACAAAGGCTAGACTGTGGCTAAACGAGGTGCCCTCAACATTTCAGCTGATTGTGTCTACAGAGTCACAATCCAGGAGAGAGTACACTGAGGTAGTCCACGTTGAAACCTCCAGTCTAAACCCACGCCCCAGGAAGTTTCCAGCAAATTCCCAAAGAATCATTTGTTGCTTTTACCAGGAGATGGAGCTTTACGGTATTGTATGCTCATGACTGCAGGGAATCTTCCTAATCAAGACCAATATTCTTGATTAGGATCCAAGTCTACCTAGCAACTTCACCACAGTTATAGTATTTGAAGTTGGCTGCAGGAATTGTTCAGTGGTTCAGTGCAGAATTGTTCAGTGGTGGAGCACCTGCCTTGCGTGCATGAGGCCCTGACATCAAGTCATGATGTCACTGCCTGGAAACCCGATGAACTCTGTCTTCCAGAAAAGCTGCCATCTACATTGGTGCTCTTAAAACCTAACACATAGCACACTTGAGGTACCCAGACACCCCATGATGGACAAAACTGACCTTTGGCCTTGTATAGGGAAACACATACCGCTCAGAGTCTTGTACCCTTACAAAAGGAATCAGCAATGCAGTCTGAGTTCCTTTAGCCTCGTGTATCCCTTTTAAAAATTAGTAATTCAACTGAAATCTACTTGTGATAAAACATCATGGTTCCATAGTCTAAACTCCCACATCAAATCCAAACAAACCGATACCCCTCCGCAACACCTCGAGCTCAGGCATGTTCTCTGTCCCCGCAACCTCCAGGCCACTGCGGCAATGAACTTCCCAAGTCCACCCAGCGACTTCGTTGCCTCCCCAAAATTCCATTGTCTTAATCCTGGCAACATATTACTAAAGGACCAAGCTACTACCCCAATAAAAGATGACAATAATTAGCATCAACAAATATAAAAGAATACTACCTGTACCAAAATAAAACACCCCAAAATTGCTACACAACCCTCCCTCATTGCAGAAAACCCAGAAATTTCCCACCTTGCTGAACAACACCTGATAGCAAACCAAGAAAACCAGACATCCTGGGTGACAGCACTGGCAGCCGTGGTCTCCTTCAGAAGAACTAAAACCATCCTTAAAGTCCCTGGCAAGAGGTAGAGCAGTTTCACAAATCTGCAATGTCCAGCCACATCTCAGTGACCACTCACACAGTTGCAAAGCTGAAAATGCTGCTCATCAGCATTTTCCCACCTGGGCACTTTTCCCTGGAGTTTTCTGAACTGTCTCAGCACACACACTCAGCCAGCCACATGCTTACACAACCACACACACACACAAGCAGGTGCCCTGTCCACTCTGCAGTCATGTTTCAAGAAGAGTATGCAAAATAAGTGTGTTATAAAATTTATTGGTGTAAGCATCCAGACACTTCCAGGTGGGAAAGATGATGATATGCAGATTCTGCTACGAGGTGCAACAGAAAATCGTGTGGGCAGGACAGTACGCCTGGTGCACGACTCCAAACAAAGGTTAGACGAGAGTGCTTCCTCTGGGAAACTCAGAATAATAATTTAAAGCTTCATGAGGCAAGATATGTTCCAATTTAAAACACTAAGAAATAGTACCATCGATGAAAAAGGAAATCAACTTCTAAGTGTACCAAAAGGGGTGAAGGACAAACAAGAGGGACATTTGCATCTGTCGAGGTACAAATGGGAGTGTTCCATCGAGGGGCGTTAATTATTATTAATGGCAAACCCTGCAAATACAAAATAAAACCCAAATCACTGGTCACATGATTCAAAATTTACATGTAATAAAGGCAAGGCAATAGACTCAAGTTATGGCCTGTCAAATATTTACTCCACGGACATTATCTACAGAAGCACTTGGCCGATTTGTACACAGTGATTCCTTATGCACGCCAAAGGGGTTTCTGTAAAAATGACGCTATATACAGTCTGTACACAGATCCACCAGCGATTCTCCATCTCCCGGGGGAGTTATCGACTTAAAGCAGGATACCTGAGGTTTCATGTCTTTAGTTGCCTTATCACAATCCCAAATATACACTTCAGGGGTTTTGTTTTCAAAGACATTTTCCTTGAATATGTGCACTATGGTTAAAATTAAAAACAATAAAAAAATAAAATAATTGCTTGAAGGAGCTGGCCCTCCCCACCCCATGCGAGAGACTTCATCAGGCTGGGCACAGCGAGGGCTAAGTGTGTCCCTGGACGTCGCGGCCTTGGGGGTGGCCCTCCGTGGCGCCTCCAGCAGAGCCGGCAAAGGTTCTCCTCGACTTTCAAAAGGAGGATGCAGAAGAAAGGAGGGAAAACAAAACCCCAGAGGCCAAGGGGTTTCAGTGGGACGAAGTTCCTCCACCACTTAGAGAATATCTAAGGAAAAAGAAAAAGAAACAGAAGTAAATGTCATTTTTCTAACCCTTGTGCAAAAATTTAAAATAATAAAAATCTTAGTTTTGATAGGAAGTCTTAAGTCATTTAGAAAATCATGGTTCTGACACAAAAACTTCATGGCACACGATCAAGAGGAAAAATGATGTGTCCAGCCT